CTCGCGGAGAACACTTGGATGAGCCAAACCGGAGGCACGAGAAATTATACCTCCGATGTGTTTCTTACGATTTTATTCTATCAAACGTTCATTTAAATTGTAATTTGTTACTTCGTTAGGCTCCTTGTTCACTCGTTCGTTCGGCACGCGCTCTAATTGCAAGAGAATCGCTCATCCCGGTAATTGCGGCAGACGTTCGGTCACGGAAGGGTTAGACACCCCATTGTGAGTCCTCGAAAGTTGCTCCAAGCGGAGTTTCGATTCCTGTGGTCTCTCTCCACGGGCAGTCGTTATTGCCGTCTTCGTTGTCATCATCCCGAAGTTCGCGCTCCCAAATGCCGTATTAAAATACTTCTTCTAGCTAACCGTCTTTTGTATTTAAATACGTCGGGGTCGCGCATAGTATCGGAGTCGATAAAAAACGTCATAAGCGGGGGGGGGNGGGGGGGGGGGGAGGGATCGTAAAAACGTTTTCTCATTTATCCGCATAGCGGCGCCTTTGTTAGGGGACGTGCAATTGCGGACGGATTGAAACTTCAATATCGGGTACTCGCGCCGCGCCGACAATCTGGAATTATTAAATTGCCGGGTCGGCCACCAACTTCGACCGGGGCGAGGAACGCGCGGAGGGAGAGAGAGAGAGAGAGAGAGAAAGAGCCGGAGCACGAAACCCCACGTACGCTCTCGTTCGCGTTTTATTGGGTGCTTGCAAAAGTTCGTACGATATTAAAGTCATTTTGATCTATCAACAATGAGATATAATGTTTTAATCAACGTATGTTGACCGTTGCTATCAATCGCGCTGGAGTCGCTGCTACAGCTATCTATTTGTGATCTTACGAACTTTTGCAAGCACCTAATACGTTCGTGGGCGAAAAAAGCAGGTACTCAGTAAAGAGTGCAATTCGCAGCGAAAAACACGTGCGACGGTAGTGCAATTATGCTGGATCGCCTTGGGGTCACATATACGTAATAACCGAGTCGCAAGCGCGCGTGCATGATCCCTTTTAATTCGTTATCAAAGGGGCGAACGGGTGTTTCTGATTAGTGGATGGAAAAATGGTAGAAGTCGCGCCCCGGTCACGTAGCGGCTTTGTCATTGGCGACTGCCATATCGATGACAGGAACGCGTGAAGAATCTCATCGGTTCACGGACGAGGCGCGACGCGTCGCGACCGGCAAACACGACCGTTTTATTCCTTTCCTCTATTTTCATCTCTGTACCCAGCGAGTACTCCTTATGAATATGAAATACAACGATGTCGCGATTTCACGCGTCTCGACGTCAGGTATTCCGATTCGCAATCCCTCGGTCCTATTGCGCAGCAACGCAGAAAGCGTAACATGCCTTAAATTATGATTCAATTAGACAGCGGATTCCCTCGGAATAATCGTGATTAATACCGGACGATAATGAGCGCGATTAATGCGTCCTAATTACCGTGACGAATGTCAAAAAGATTTTCATGATAGGTTGATGTTCGCATCAGTAATTGTTTTAATGTGATAATAATTGCTCCGCGTTGTGTGTAAATATATATGTATGTATGTATGTATGGATATATATATATATATATATATATGTGTGTGTGTGTGAGGGTCAGAGGCTTATAATATTAATTATCATGGCAGTGATGGTTGTAATGTCGTAACGATCGTGATCACAATTTTCGTAGTGCCAATCGCGAATGTAATAACTGTAATGTAATTACCATTAAGGTAACACGTTGACGTCACGATAAATATTACCATTATTGCAAAATCGTAATAATAATAATAACAATAATAGCCGCGGCAATTAAAATGCAACGAGTGCACACGAGCATATTATTATTTACCGTCGGAAAAGTCAATTGTCTGCTTTGTAACCACAATAATTGCGCCACGTTTCATTTGAACGTGACAAATATTGCATGAGAAACGTCCCAATTATGAGAAGGACGTTAAATATACATAGAAATTACGAAAAACAATGACGGAAACCGCGATAAAATATATTCGACTGTTTCAGTGTGGACTGTTGATTCGAGTGAGATAGGAAGATAAGGAAAATGACGAATATAGAGGGAAAGATGACGTAGATATATCACACGCGTAAATTATGTAAAGTAATATTCGCGGAGAGCGGTTCAATCGTAAATCAGAATAGAAGAGAAGAAAGAAAAAAAGAAATGGACGCAGTGTTGTATATCAACGAAGAAGCATCTCGCTGTTCACGGTGCGAAATAAAGTGCAAGGATATTATCCTGTTTTATTGTCGCGAAATTTGTTCTTTCATCCTTCATATTTTATTCATATATTTTATCTTTATTATATATCTGGTCTGCTTCTCTCTCTCTCTCTTTCTCTCTCTCTCTTCTCTTTTCCGCCCGAATCAATAATAATATTTTCTTCGCGAGAGCTAAAGAATAGTGAGCGAAAGAGAAATGAAAGGAGAAAGGAGGAAAAGGATAAGGGGAGCGGATCCTTTCGTATTACCGCGACGTACTCAAGCCAAAGGTATAAACGGTCGTCGGGTCAATGTTGTGAATGCGAAGTATGCATTATTTCGCGGAATGTTCGACGTGAGGGGCAGCAGCAATAGCTGCGACGCGGGTGGACACTTTGCAAAACGTCAGGAATTTTCAACTGCAGTTATAGTCGATAAATTGCTATGCTGTTCCCGTATAGAGAGGGAGGAAAGAGGGGACCGACCGAAAGCAAATCCTTCGGAATCATAAAAGAAGACCGAGTGCGTTGTGCGCATAATGGGTCCATAAAGCCGGTGGCATAAAGTCTCGCTCGGGTCCACGAGGGAATATTCTTTCCTGTTTGTCGTTTATGCTGATTATACCGGCGTCATTCTGTTTCAGTTATTCGCGAGACGAACGAAGGAAAAGGCATAGCGATAAAGTTTATATTTGTCTAGTCTCGATTGATGTCGAACTGCGCACAGTTTGACAAAAAGTTCGGTCGAACTGAACGGAAAGAAAATTGATTAATGTTTATATAAATTGGTAATGATTATATAAATTGGTTATATAAAATTATATAAACTATAAGGACTTTTGTAACCATTAATCGTGAATTTGAATTCGTACATTGGAATTTTTATTGATAATCGTTTTTTTTAAAGAATAAAAGAGTAGCTTAACGAACTTCCACACGACCCGAAAGATTCCATTTGCATTTATCGATACGAAGAGGAATATTATATTCTATATAGATCACGTTGGTTCGTTTTTATCTATAGGTGGGGTAGAATTGTGTTGCAGAAATGGCTAAGTGCAATTTCGAGTCTAGTAATTTTATCTCCTTTCTTTCTGCGTTTTGTCTATAATGCGTTTTTTATTACAGATTGTCATAACGCGTTTTTTATTACAGATTTAATAATTTCGACTCAGTACTTAACACCTTGGATCGAGTTTTGTAATAACAACTTCAGATTTGTAACCAACTTGAAAACCTTACATTAGTAATCTATATCAAAATTTTATTAGATTTTTTTTTGCATCCGCCATACTTGATCCGTCATTTTGAATTTTGTTATTTTAGATTTGTAAAAAGCAACCTCGAAAATCCCTATAACAAGACTTATTTTAATTTCCCTCGTAAGAGATTTTTTTGGGACACGAAAGGGTTAATTCATTTGCATCCGAAGCGAAAATGTTTGTCCATTGATCGCAGATGGCGAAAGCCATCACGCCAAATTTGACACTACAATTGACGAAAATTATTGCGAGAAGTTGACAGTACAATTGACAGTACAATTGACGAATTTGACAGTACAATTAACGAAAATTATTGCGAGAAGTTTGCTACTGACAGAACCATAAGAAGAACTCAGAGATCAAAGAGCGCGGCATCTCGGTTAAAAACAAAAATCCCCAGTGATGTGTTCATATTCTTCAAAATTCCCGATTATGCAAATTGGTTAAGAACGGCGATTGCGACTTTTCCATGAGATCTGCACGTTTGTTCCCCATCTTCGTAACGACGATGCTTCTATCGTTACGCGTCGTTGCCGTGGCTGCTATTACGCGATACGTAATGTTATACCTGCGCAACGGCGCGTAACGATAGCGAAATCGTCGTTATGAAGTTGGAGAAGACGCACCGGAGGCGACTCGTCGAAATTTACAGTCTCGCCGCGAGTATTGAGGAACGTAGAGTGTCTGATTAGTTTCGTATACACGCCTCTCGAACACAGTAGTATCGAATCATCCAGTCGCAATTTAATCGCCACGCGAACGATATTTTTTGGAAACGCGTGACACACGACTCCAAAAAAATGTCGAGACAGCCCACAACCGTGCGATATTGACTCAATTTATGTATTTGTTTACTCTTTTTTATCTGCGCTCGTTGTTTTACCGAACTCGTGTTTATTACGTGTGTTACTTTTTCGTCGCGTCGGTGTCGTTACTTTTTCACGTAGTATATTCGCGCGCGCGGTAAACTGATTATTTTAATACCTACGTGGGAAGTGCTTAATGAGAGAGAACTTGATTAAAAAGTCATGAAATTCGAAAGGAGAAATGTACCGCCGCGACGATAGTGGTTTTCATATTACACGTTAATAGGATTCTTAATATTGAGCTTCTAATTCGACGCTGTCCATTTCTAAAATTCTAATTAACGACGATACGTCCCGCTGGATATGAATTCTTCGCATCGCGGGCATTCCTATATCACACGAGCGTCGGAGCACGTTCTTAATCGCGACGTGGAAATATATCGCGTCTGCAAAATTGACGTAAAATATAATCACATGGCGTTAATGCGTCGCATAGTTAATGTGTGTTAATTAACCATAATTGTGCGGTAATTAGAGGGATTGACAATTCTCACGATTCAGCATACTCTTTATTTTCGGTCTCTCGTTCCGCACTACTGCTTAACGTTGGCTCCTGAATTCACTTGATTTCCCGCCGGAACTGTGCTCGACTTGTAATTAAACATTACACAATCAGCCCGCCGCGATAAATTGTATTTTCACCCACAATGATAATGCAGCCTGTTCATATTTGAGGTTTGGATGGCTTTTCGTGCGTACGCCTCGCCGGCAGAACTCCGCAATTTAATACGATCACCGATTTTATTGGCTTTCCGGTTTTCGTACCGAATTCCTCGATCTATTTAATCGTGGCAGATATAAACAGTTTACCGCAGTTGTGCGGTCGAATTTGAACGCGCGGCGGTAATTAAATTTCTCGTGAAACGCGATGCACCGTGCGGCACCGGCAGCTTCGTCCTTTCCTTTTTTTTTTATTGTTCGGAAAATACAGGTAACCCAGATATATCCCGTTCCATGGTATCTCCGGGGCGATATCGCGTCAACTACATTTTATGCCTTAGGCGAGTAAAAGATAAGGGAACGAAATTTGATAATTGCTTTCTTTCTTTCTCGTTCTCTCTTCCAAAAAGTTTCTCGATACTTTTAATAAAAAAAATTTAGGATTTCTCGAATCCACACGATTTTCGTCGGTAAAAATTAAAGAGTCGAATGATTAGTGAGAGCTACAAATGACGAGTTGCTTATACCGTGCTCCATGTTAAATTCGACTTGGATTTCTTAAGAACGAACGATTCGAGCTACGACTTGTCTTTCTTCGTAATTTAAGGGTTACCCGTTAGATGGCCGCATACGGTCGCGCACATGTTGTTCCCGTTCAATACTGATCGATGGGCTCGGAACGGTCGGTTGTCAGTTTCGAAATTATTCCGCGCAAATTATTCTTCGAATGCAAATCCGGCGTTTGCGCCCGAATTTGTGCCCGAAGTTAATTCGACGTGTTTCGCGCTCGCGCACTAGCATTTGTAATATTGCGCTACCGTATGAGCGGAGGAAAGTTACTTCTGTTATACAGCAATGCATTGTCGATTTGCGCAAGCTTTTCTCGTGAGTTAACAGCGGCAAGCGCGTGGCTTCTCAAGGCGTAGTCTTTACCTTAGAAACGTTCGCTATTCCGTCAATCACTCGGCCGAAAACGACATTATGCCTGTCCACGGTTTCCAGGCGCTTGAACGTGAGATTGAATTTGGAATCATTTCTGCCGCCGTCGGCGACACACATCGACAGGAAACCGGGTCCTTCATGCCGCAGCTCGAAGTTCTCGTTGTCAAACGAATCGCCGTATATCGAGGTGCCTCCGGTGCCGTTGAACTTGGTGACGTCTCCTCCTTGGCACCAATATCCGACGACGATACGATGGAACGGGGTGCGCCTGTAAATTATAAATCTTTCATGAGATTCGAACGAACGCTTTACCTTTGGCTTTTATAATTTTCCAACGACTCTACGAGAGATCGATAGACGCTCTTCTAGCGTCGACGGAATATTTTGAAAGAGAAGGCGAGCGAGAGAAAGACCGTTTTTTTAATCCATCGCAGTATTTTCCGATGTAAAAAAATAATATTCTGTCTTATTGTTTATTACCGTATGTAATAATTTATATACTTATATGACAATTCGTTGTCGCCACGGCAGAAAGCTGCAAAATTGTCGCATGTGCGCGGTACGATATCGTTGTAGAGCTCGAACACTATTCGTCCGAAATTGTGATCCTCTTCTTTGAGCCCAACGTCGAAGAAGCATCTCGTTCGATTTTGAGAAGCTAATTGCTTTCCGACGTCCAACTCAATGGGCTGTTTTTTAATCGGCGAGAAAAACCTGCGTAATGTATTGTATACTTTACAAAGAAGTTTAATTTTATATATATATATTATTTCTACATGAAACCGAATCATTTCTCCTACATGTATGAACATTCACTTATGCGATTGAATAACTAACCTCGAGCCGTGTTCTGTCAATCGTCGCAGATTTTTCCAGTTCTCTAGTGACTTGTATTTGGGATATTCAGTAGTGGCTTCACGAATTTTCTTCAGCATTTTCCGATTTTCTGCCATAATTTCTTTGTTTACTCGATCTTGATACACAAACTTTGATTTATACTCGATATCTGGCACCCAACAATCCACTTTTCCCTAAGGATGAAAAACGCTGATTATTTTGCTTCCGCTTATTCTTGCACATGCAAATTAATGTTGTCAAATGTTATTTAAAGTTGTATCATCAGAAGATCAGAAGGTCATATTTTCAAATATATATGTTATCGTTAATCTTAAGAAACTACGCATATATAGAATTTCACCGATTGTGATAAGAGGTTGACACGGAATGATACTAACCCCCATTCGATGAATTTCGTTCATTTTCCTCAATAGTTTCAAGTTTTCCTTGTCTATTTTTCTGACTCGTATCATATATTGCTCCAATTCAAGCGGTCTTAAGTAGACAGACGCATCGAAATACGGGGCTTTGTTATCGATCTTTGGCACAATTGGCCCACGACGGAAGCTCTTGCACATTTTATTATTCATGATTTATTTCCGCGTACAATTTAAATTTTATTATATGAATTTAAAAAAAATCAATCCTTGCTAGATTTATGTTAATGTCGATATATTTCTACTTTGATTTTGCCTGCAGCATTTTACACTACGGATTTATAACCCCTATTTTTTTACACAAAATCTCTCCGATTGCATGTCATACCGAACTGATGCAGTATTCAGGCAACAGTTATTCTTGCATAATATTCGGACTGCATTTTAATAATCAGCTAATGATGTACGCGGATAATGTTCCTTTGATAAGCGAATATAATGATACGTGTTATATAATAAACTTATTATACATATAAATAACATTAATGAACTCATATAATTATACTCAGTCTATTAATTAATTGACTAATTATATTCGTTTCTTTTCTTTTAACACATTTAACACGCATTTAGCATTAAATTATGTCAGACAATAATTAACGTAAGAGAGAGGAATTAAATTGTGTTTCTTTATTAAAGGTACCTTCATTTTCCGGTAACAACTTTGATTTCGTTGTATAACGAAAGGAAATTTTTCAGAATCAGTTTTAATAATAAAGAAAATTAGCTGTTGCCAGAAGAAACGGTAAGATGGAGTTGCGTAAAACTGGAATAAAAATATTGGAGTGAAAATATTATATCATTCAATATCTTTCTTTGTTTAAAAATATTAATTTTAGATTCTGTAAAGGAATGACAAGTTTCAATCGTTAGAAACAAATGTAAGCCAAAAGCTATCTAGAAAGAAAAGTATGTTACTGAAAAGTAAACTGATGTTTATTGAGTTACTTATTTACCCCGTGTTACTTGTAATTTTTTTTTAGAAATGTCTAATTATCTAAGTTTGCTTGTGTTGATGTAACCAAGAAGGTCAAAATGTTTGTGTAAAACTAAAAAAAAAGTAATATTAAATTTAAATATTTTTATCGTGTAGATATTGATGTTCACGTGAGTAACATAACTAATAATTAATTCGACATTCGTAACACACCTTGTGAAAGAACTTGAAGCCAAGCTGGAAGCAGCCAACTCCACAGAATTTTAACGGCGCTCGTATAATTTGCAACAAAAGTTGCACGATCTATATTGACACAATGGACTCGTTAATACACATGTTCCTAGTTAACGCTAAAAGTCAAGATCAAAGTTTTCTTTCGATTTATATTTTAAAGCTTACAAGCTCGCGAATCTCCGCGTTGTGAGTGGAATACATTACTTTACTTATAAAATCCTTTGTAGCATTTGCCTAAAATCGAGATTCGCAAATCAGAATGAAGTTACTTTCGGAATAATAATAATTAAGATTTAACGTTAGTTCATGATCGTGTAACATGAATGTAGAATCAATACCTTGTTGCTGACTATGTCACACGAGTAGTTGATTATCAGGAGTCGGTAGGTGTACACAAGAAGCCATAATGTGACAGTGCCGATAGAAAACCATTCTCTGTCTATCGCATAATTTTTGTAAAACATATAGAAAAGTTCCCTTATATTCACTGCTATAAAGAAGAAGTAACACGCCATCTTGAGAATTATCTCTATTTCGAATATGGAGTTTATCTCGTGGGATATTTTACATAATTCCAGATGAAGATGTCTGGAGGAAGAGAAATGGTGATATTAAATCTTGGCGAGCGAAGCTCTCACTTACTCATTAAAATTAAATTTCCATAGATTCTTACGTTACAATCCACGCCATAAATTCGCTGCTCGATGCGTTCGAGAATTTTCGTTGATGTGAACGCATCACGGTATTCTCCCAAATCCGTTTTATTCTGCGCTCACGATCCGTGAATTCGCCGTCCGCCAGTCTTTGAAGCTGCTCGTTGACTTGATCGAATTTTAATCCTATGTATCTGAATGTACGTGTGGAGGTTAAAGAGTGAAGTGACTAGCCATAGAAATTGTTATTGTTAAAATAATTACAAAGAAATTCTCGAAAGTTTCTGAAAAGAATATTTAATTTTTATCATTAAAATATTTTTTATATATGATATTAATATATGGTATTAGGATATTTTAGATGTTCATCGAATCATCAATGGTTTTATTTTTTTTAAAAGAGTCATTTTACAAATGCGAAATCTGGCAATTATCAGAAAGTTGATAAAAAATGGTGGGTAATTATTCGGAAAGTCACGTTTTAAAGGTAACTTATCATTACTCAAGAAATAATGAGTTGTTATAATTTCAGTCACTTTATGGCGAATATTTTGATTGAACGTGTACGTGCTATTTTACATTAGTAAAAAATTTTTTGTTAAAAATGGTTTGACAAAATTTTGTGTTATTTTAACATAAAAAATTGGTTAAAAAGTACATAAATATGTATTAAAAGTACACAAATATAACGTTAAATTAACACATTCATTTTGTCAACATATGTCGACATATGTTTCTCATGTTAAAGTAACACAAAATTTCGATGGACCGTTTTTAACACAAAATTTTTCACTGCGTCTTTTATTAATAAAACATTAATAAAAGAAATATAACGAAAAATCTGATCATCTTCTGCTAATCTCTAATATTTTGTATAAAGACATACGCACCCGAGAATGTATTCGAACATCAGGTCGTCAATGAAATTAGTATGGGTGGAATAATTCATTAACAAAGTAATGTAAAACGCAATTCGGAAATTATACACATTTCTCCACCGAATGAAGTCGCCCAGGTTCAATATTAAGACTATCGCACACCATTTCGCGACGAACTTCGCCATTTTTACGTTTAGCTTCTGATAATTCGTCGTTATCCCAAGTTCCTCTAATGTTTCGTCCACGATAGCGAGTTTCCTCAGACAGTTCCTAAATTTCTGTCACGGACAGACAGATAATATTCACTCGAGGTCTCTACGAGAGTCCACGTGCGAAGTATAATTTTTGCAATGTTATAAACATAATATAATCGATATTAGTCTACAACCAATGAATTCATTCTTTTACGCCAAAACAGTTACACTTACCTTATCGTAATAGAGTCTGATGAATAATGTCAGTAGAGCCATTAATATATTCAGTGCAACAAATGCGTTGTAAAACAGCCAATGATGAGGTATATAAAATATCCAAATATCCGTCATGAGAAAACAATAAGTAGGCCACAGCAATAAGTGATAGAGATAACTTAACCACGGTCTCGGATACCCCATCGGAAACTCTACGATCCTTAGACCGCACACGTAACTAATAATCAGGAGCGGCGATAAGACCACCCGAATGCTCTTCACCATCACGACACCGTTGCTAGTCTGTACTGTACTTTACTTTCTTGGTTGACAAGCATACCGAATGTATATAACGATACAAGATAACAACGACGGATCTTTCTAATTTGTAATTTCTGCACTTAAGTATAATGAAATAATCGATCCGTTGAATTTTATACATCGTCAACATACGAAGTTGAGCTGCTGATAAACTGCTCTGTCTGTTCTCATTCAAATTAAGTGCGTTCATGACCATCGATATCGATCTTGTTTTTTTCTTTTTCTTTTCTTCTTTGCTTGGTTCTTTATTTTTTTGCTTATAATACGCTTTACGGACAGTAAATAAAGTGATAACGGTTGATGAAGTTGCTTTTATGGTTTTATAGAGATGTATAATTAAATATTTTTTTTCGTCTGTATTAATATAATCAGAAAAGTCAGAATACTGTTGATATACTGAAACAAAAGTAATATGTGACGAAAAAACAGTAAATCGACCATAGTAATGAGTTATACAGAAAACTGAACCACGGTCTCGGATGTCGCGTGGGAAACTCGGAAACTCGGAAACCCTCATACCACGCACGTAACTCACTATCAGAAGTGGCGACAGAACCTCACGAATGCTCTTTGCCATAGTCACACTGTCGTTCTTCTAAACTGTGTTCACTAGACTGCTAACTGCACCGAACGAACGTAGTGATATGACAACACAACAGCGGATCTTCGTAATTGCAATGGTTGCAATTGTTGCACTTAAGTATAATGAAACAATCGTTCCGTTGGACTTTATATTAATGCCGCGAACTAACAAAAACTGACTGACGAGTCCGTCGTTTATTTCCATAGGAATTAAACAACGATGTTACTTTTCTTCGGTTTTTATTTATTCATTTTCTTATGTGTTTAAAAAACTCTATCATATGTGTTTAAAAAACGATCAAATAACAACTGAGATGCGTGATAGCGATATTATTTTTCAATCAACGAGTAACAAATTATTTTTGTAAAATTCTATTATAATAACATTTTTAATAAAGAATGTAATTATCGCGCAAGGACAGGAATAGGAGGAATCTCTCTCCCTCGCGAGCGTAAAAATAAATTATAAATATTAGTTTTACATTCCACTGCCCAACTTCCGGAAAAAGAATGTTAATATTAATTGCATGCAAGAATGTGAAATTATCGAAAAGTTATCTTGATAAGGAATTATACCACTTACTGAATAGTGAATCGATATCCATTTGAAAGTCATTTATGTCGTTTTAATCATTATATTGAAAAAACATATATCTACCCGAGTTTGACTGTACTAATATAATCAAGATAGTCAAAATAGATTCGGAGTACTGAAAAAAAGTAATATAAATTTTTAAATATTTCTCATTGATTATCAGTATATATGATGACTGTCGGTATGTATGATGAAACATAATTTGTTGCAACGCACCCCGCGAAGGTACTTGAAGCCAAACTGGAACAGCCCCAGGCCGTAAAATTTGAGCGGGGCTCGTGTAAGTTGCAGCAAAAGATGCATTATCTGCATTAAATACATCAATAAAATAGATTTATTTATTTATTATACACATTATTACTTTCTCTATTAATGTTTACATTTAAATTTTGTTAAATAAAAATTTATATCAAAACTTACGTTCTCATGAATTTCTGTGTCACAAGTAGAACACGACACTTTCTTGATAAAATCTCTCGTGGCATTCGCCTGCAATTAAAATATACATCAAATAAAATAAGCTAGCTCATATTCTTTCCCCCTCTCTCTATCTCTCAATTTGGTAATACAAAATTTAGATTGCAACTATATGACATATGACTGTTGAAATTAAATCTTAAATAAATGTTTAGATAAGTATTTATATTTTGAACACGTGGGAATATATGTATATTATGAGACTTGTAAAAGTTCGTCGGATTTTTAGCAATATTTTGTCATTAATAGTAACGCAAATAGTGATGCCATATTTAGTCAAATTATTGTTATCGTTATCTGTCGCTTTTTGTTACATTTCAGGTAATCATTTGATTCTTTGTTTCTGTAAAATGACTCATTTTGTGAGCCAATAAATCTATATGTGATTTGAAAAATTTTCGTAAGTCGTCAATAGAATCGATACCTTGGCGCTGACTTTCTCGCACGTGTAATTAATCAGGAAGAGTTTGAAGAAATGTAAAACGAACCAATATAGGTTTATAAAAATGCAGATACCAGTTTGTAACTTGTTGGTACTTTTGACGAATAACTCGTCGAAAATTCCTATAGAGGCTTGTGCTATAAAACCAAAGTAAAACGCCATTTTGAGTGTTAGTTGTATCTCGAATGCTGAGTTTACTTCGCGAGATATTTTGCATAACTCCAGGTGAAGATGTCTGTACAGATGCGACATTTTGAATATTAGTTTGCAAATATGTAGCCAGGTTGTCATTACATATCCAATATATAGTCGTACATTACAACCCACGTGATAGATTTAATATTTAAGGCGTTTGAAAATTTGTGTCGGTGCGTGTACAAAACAGGACTCTCCCAAGCCGGCTTTATTTTGCGATTCTCATAGTCAATAAATTCGCCGTCCACCAGTTTGCGAAGTTGTTCGTTGACTTGATCGAACTTTAGTCCTATATATCTAAATGCAAAGTCGACATACGCAATTATGAACGAATATTTACGAATAAATCATACGTGAATTCCTAAAAGTTTTCAAAAAGAAGAGATTTAAATTCTCTCTAGATTTAATAATATATATAATTTACTCATGTACAGGGTGAAGTAATAATTATTATCACTTTTGAATATCTTTGAAAAATAAAAAATATCTTATTAACAGCCAGATAAAAATGAAAAAAAGTTTACATTTGCAAAAGATATATGAAGTGATCATTAATATCAATGCAATTTCTGTTACATACATTTTATTCCTACTTTCATATGTTGAAGATATTCAAAATAATAAGAGTTATTGCTTCACTTTGCATACACGAAGCGCGTACACAAACACACACACACTCACACACATGTACATCCGATACATACCTGAGAATACATACAAATGTCAAGTCGTTCATAGAATTAATGTGACTACCGCAGTTTACTAAAAATGGTATATAAATCCCAGTTAAAACGCCATATAGTTTGCTCCACCATATGCTTTCGAAGTAGGTTACTATTATATATAATAATGTCCATGTCGCGATTATGATCTTTATTTTTTTATTCAGTTTCTGGCAATCCGTTGTTGTTCCAAGTTTTTCCAACGTTTCATCCACGATAGTGAGTTGCTTCAGACAACTCTTAAATTTCTAGTGCAAGAGAACAATTCGCAATAAACAAACAATATTCATTGAAAAACTCGATGAATTTTTATCTTGTAGCCTAATTATATCTTCTATATCTTGTGTAAGAATAGAGAAACAATTCTCCTCGAATATAAATTTATTAATTTAATATCATTAGAAAGAGAGAGAGAGAGAGAGAGAGAGAGAGAGAGAGAGAGAGAGAGAGAGAATTTACGACTCCTAGATCGTAAAATTATTTATTCGACGCAATGAAATTACCTGAATACATGATTGGAATCAATAAATGAACAATCTACTAAAACTTTCTTACCTTATCGTAATATGTCGCAAGCAAAGTCGAAAATAACACCATGGAAAAATTCAGCAATACGCATATCGTATATATATAGCAATGTTTGAACAAACGAGGTACCACGGTGTACATGAAGAAAAAACAATAAGTCGACCATAGCAACAAGATGTAGGAAAAATTAATCCATGTTGCTCGATGTCTCACGGAAAACTTGACAATTCTTAAACCACACACGTAGTTGACTATCAAAAGCGTTGACAAAACTGCTCGGATGCTCATCGCCATGCTGGTGACAACACTACTATTCCAAATTGGACTTTCCCGTTGACAACTAGACTGAACGGCAATGATAGCGCATCTTCGTAATTTGCAATTGCAGCACTTACGCGTATTGAAACGATCGACTCGATGAATTTTGCATACTCCGCGAGCTATTGGGATAGAATTATTGGTGAATTCGTCGCTTTTTCCTGCATGAGAGGAAATAGATTCACGTAGCGAATGGTAATGTTATTCTTTTACGCTATATATTTTCACATTCTGACAATTGTATGCTATTATTACACACATATATATATTTATGCGTGCTGAGAGAATAATCGAGTAAAGTATGAGAAAACATTGTGTTTTAATTGATAAATGAACCGGCACACACAAAAAAAATATAGTAGAAAGTATTAATTCGATACGTTGCAGCTTTTTCTGTAAGAAACGGTGAATATTAATTCTCAATGAAACCAAGAAATGCTTAATTATATTAATCATAACATTCTTAATACTTACATGTTGTGTGTGACTGTACTAGTATAACTATAACGGTCCCGACGGAGCCGAAGAACTAGAAACAATACATTTATTATGTACAATTCTTGTTGTACAATAATTTTTCCTTTTTAGTAAAAGATAATTATTTAATAATTGCAACATACCCCGTAGAGAAATTTTAAACCAAATTCGAAAAGTCCCAGCCCGTGGAATATGAGCGGAGCTCGAGTCAGTTGTAATAGAAGTTGCGAAATCTGTAATGGTTTACAATAACCCACTTATATATTAGTTATTATTAGTACTTATTATTAGTACTTATTTATTTCACGGCGATGAAAAACTTACATTTTCACGAATCACAACATCGCATGAGGAATACGATATCCTATTTACAAGAGCCTTCGTTGCGTTTGCCTAAAATTGAAACATTTGAAAGAGGATCGAAATTTAGTATGACTAATTTGAATATAATTTAATGATCAAATAATATCGTCGAAAGTGAATACACGATAGATGTATTTTGTGTACAAACGTGTTATTGATACCTTGACACTGACCCTTTCGCACACATAATTAATAAGAAAGAGTCTAAAGATGTATGCAACGAGCGAGGTTGTAACCAAGGAGAAGAACAGCATGGTTCTGTCGA